AGCAGTGCATTGCGAGAAAAACGGCCGGAATACAAGCAAAGACATGATAAATTATTTTTCTTCATGACAATGCTCGGCTTCATGTCGCAAAAGTCGTAAAAAAATATTTGGAAACGCTTAACTAGGATGTTTTACCGCACCCGTATTCTCTGGACATTGCTCCTTCTGATTACTGGTTGTTCCGAAGGATGCAGCACGATTTGGCAAGTCACCGGTTCACTTCTCCAAACTTGATTGGATCGCCTCTAAAGACGAGTCATTTTTTCGAGATGGAATTCGAAAATTGCCTGAGAGATGGAAAAAAGTAGTAGCCAGCGATGGACAATACTTTAATTAATCTGTTCATTCATTTTGTTGTGAAATAAATGCATTTGTGAACACAAAAAAACGGACCGAACTAATTTGTACTCCCAATATTCTGTTAAAATATATTCTGTTAAATATAACTCTTTGCATTAAAATGCCAATAAATGATCAAGTAGATAGCTTACTGATTATTAATAAATTCTATTTTAAATGCATTCAAGTATGTATCTCATAAATTAACGATTATATATATTACAGGATTAAATAACATCATTAATCTATCGTAGCCTATTCTATTTCAAGACAAAATCTATAAAAGCTAAATCTATAAAATGTTCAAGACAAAATCTATAAAAGATAAATCTATAATATTATTCATAGATCCATTATCTTAAATGATACATTATTGATATCAACATTAAATGGAATTAATTGCTCTACAATGAAAATGAAATAAAATGAATAAAATTTTATTAAAGTATTAATTTCTTTATTAATGCTTTGTTCAAAATATTTTGTATATTCTTTTATAAACGTACCTTCAAAAGTATTTGATTGATTTTAATAGGTTGACAAAGTACTGTTACTGTTGATATTGTTATTATTATTATTGTTATTATTATTATTATTTACAAAACTTTTTTCAATAATCACTACTGCACTGTGATAAACTGTGTTGCCTTTATCACTATCTCGCGTAACCAACGCGCGAGACGAATACGTAGGTATGGAGTGCGTATATAGAGACGTTTTCGTTCATATCTCAAAAATAGTTTGTCGGAACATGATTTAAATACACATCATTGTTTTCAGCGTAAAATGCTCTTTAATTTTGGTCATATAAAAAATTAAAAAATTTTTGAAAATAAGAGTGGAGGGTATACAATAAATAAATAACTAAATAAAATTTGTTGTATTATAGTTATAAAGTACTCTTTTTATTCCGATAAATTTTAATCAATAACGTGACATTTTCGAATACCAAAAATATACGTGATGGGGATGAAAGAAATATGAGATATGTGACTGTCGATGACTCACTAATCCGTTTAGGGATGAATCATAAGATATTTATAAGATTAAATATTCGAGATATCTTAAAGATAGATAAAAAAAAGGACTAAAAACGATAGCTGAAAGCAAATAAGAAACAAGATTTATCAGGAATGTTTAAGAAAAAATGTATAGAAAAACTATAAGAAAATGTGTAGAAAAAATGTAAGAAAAAGTCATTACGTAAGCAAGAAAGATTATAGAATAGTTTTTAATATTATATATAGCAGAAATAAAACGTTATTTTTTCAAACTTTTTTTATTAATAACTTTTTAACGAATAACGAGTAGCTAAAACTTGTTGAGTTTACTTAAGCTCATGATCTTGTCATATATCAAGGTCAAGGTCGTTGGAGATTGCTCCCTTTTTATTGCAGTTTTACCTTTTCATTCTTAATTTGATACTTACGTTCTGCACATAATGTAAGAAGTAGAAGAATTGCTTCGTGTGATCAATGAAAAATACCTATAAAATAGTACACACTAATCCTGTTTTCGTCATTTTTAAATAAATTTTTCTATTTTTGAAAGTGTAGTAATATGTTATATCTTTTTCTTCAGTAGAATTTTTACATTCTCTTGATGTTTTTTGTGTATCACTTGTGTCATTATTTGGACATACAAGTTCTATCAATAAATATAAAATATGATTTATAAACGTTTTTTTCTATCTTTATAT